TGAGTTTTCACTTATTTTTACTGACCAAATCATTTCAGTGTTATTATTTCACATCGGTTCCTGGGCGTCATTATTCGTGTTCAAGTGACACCAAATCACAAAACCCGTCTTCTTGATATCTATAATAGTTTTTCTCGCACTTCTCGCCTGTGGGCTTCTCCTCCAGCTTTTTTGCTTCCTGGCCGCCTACACTCTTCAGAAACTTAAATGCGATGTCCCTCGACATGTTCTATCGTCCTGAATCGGTTCTTTTATTGTCCTCATTAAAATCTTTCGGTCTTAGTGGCATTATCGTCTTCCTTGAATATTGAAGTCAACACTCAGAGGCAACAGGCTGTTTCATGCTAGACGCAATCAGCCTGTTGCCTCTAAGTGTTGACTTCATTGTTCACTTTTATATTTACACATTTGAGTTCCTTTTCGTTTAACTTAAATGTGAGCAACACATTTAAGCGACTAAGATAACATGTATATATATGTGTGTGTGTGTGTGTGTGTGTGTGTGTGCGTGTGTGTGTGTGGAAATATATAGAAAATAGGAAAGATCTCGTTAGGTAAATAATCCAAAGTTCTTTAGTATTTTTGTTATTGTTTTTAAAAAACAGTGCTCGATACAAAAGTAGAGCCTAAATATAATTATATATATAAATTATATATATATATATGTGTGTGTGTGTGTGTGTGTGTGTGTGTGCGTGTGAATTTAATTTTCTTACTTGTGGAACGAAGAACGCTGAGTCAGTGCGTGATCACTGACACTGTATAAGGGGAGGTAACTAAGTATGGTTGTATAGAGATTTTTACGTAATAAGTAGTAAAATATCTAGAGCAAACCTTGGTATTTCAAACTATCTATTGTACACATTTTAAATTAATATATTATACGTACCATTCTTCTGGAAATATGTTACAAAGACTAGGGTGTTTAGAAATGTTGAACATATTCAAATTCTGTGTTCTTCACTTCAATAGGAAGAAATTCAACTTTTAGATGAACGCAACAATTTCGTGAATATGTTATTCAAACATGTCTGTGAAAACATGCTGCTAAAATATACGCACACAGATATATATATATATATATATATATGTGTGTGTGTGTATGTGTGTGTGTGTGTGTGTGTGTGTGTGTGTGTGTTATACGTAGCTTTTTTCTGGCAAAATGTTACAAGCGTAGAGTAATCATGACAATATATCTCAAAATAACGGATGTTACATGACGTGGCATGTGTAATGTTTCTCACATGTGTCGACAGAGAATCTAGTGAGATTTGAAACACGTCTGATACATGTACAGTATGGCTTAAATCTGGAGAGATAAAAGATAATTTCGTCGACAACCATATGTTCATGGAACTAGTTTTGTTTCACTAGTGCATTGTGTGTGGAGTTACGTTATCATGCTAGATCACACTACCAAAAAATATGTTGAGCAGAAATGGGTAAAGATCTTCTGTAACAAGATCCGTGTGTGACTAAAACTAAACTAACTCTAGTTTCCTTAATGTTTCTCTCGACTACCAAAAGTATACATCCATCATGACAGGGCCACCGATAATTTTCACATTTTTTTGTATCGCCTCTGGGCGTTAGCAGGTTTCACGCCCGGCTGATGTCTGTCCGTATTTCACGTATTCTGAGATGATTTCACTACTGTTTCTGTAGGAAATATTCGAAATTTATTAGTCGAAAGTTAATGTTACTCTCGGTTGAAATTATAAGATATTTTTTATTAAAACAGTTTTCAGGAAATGAGACGGCTAAAGTTCACTTACTCTTATCGCTCTTTTTAATAGCGACAGAGCTTGCCTCGCACTTTGTCTTCATTATTATTTTCTTTTCCTTTCTAGTTTCATGTTCTCCTCTCCATCCTTCTTTTTTTGGGGACTTTTGCTGTTGGAAATTCTAAATTAAAAACCAAATTGGTATCGATACATTTCGTTTATAGGATAGGATTCCCTGATAAAGAGCTAGAGGTTGGTTTGTTGTCAGGGTCGATTTTACTGTCTTTAAACTTGCTAACCGAACGCTCCGCTGTGGCCAAACCGGTTAAAGGCACGCCAGGCTATAGGACGGTTCCGTATAGGATACAGGTTCGAATCCTGTCGGAGGACGAATATTTTCTATAAGAATTTCTCGGACATTCAGGCCAGTAAATGTTGTTTAATACTGTTTATTATAAACAGAGCATTTACTTAAATATTTGTATCTATAAAAAAAGACTGTATAAACATAAAAATGTTTTTAAATAATTGTCGGACTTTGTCCAGTTCATAATGTGTGACGTCATTTGTTTACATTTGATACTCCATGAGCAGATAGGAATGTACGTGAGAGATTCATGGAAGATTGAAGTTCAAATACAGTAAATTCGACCTTGCTAACCGAACGTTCCTCTGTCCCCAAATCAGTTAAAGAGACATCAATCTGAATGACGGTTCCGTATAGGATACAGGTTCGAATCCTGTGGGAGGACGAATATTTTCTATGAAAATTTCTCGGACATTCAGGCCAGTAAATGTTGATTAATACTGTTTATTACAAACAGAGCATTTACTTAAATATTTGTATCTATAAAAAGAACATATAAACATAAAAAAATGTCTTAAAAATAATTGTCGTACGTTGTCCATTTTATATATATATATATATATATATATATATATTTATTACTCCAGGGTCTTTTTGAAACTCATTCAAGATGATCTTTGCCCTCTAACCTTCTGTCTTGGAGTAACAAGGTGCCTCACAGAGTTCATGTAGGATTTCATTTTCAAGTCTTTTTTTCACTGCTCTTTGGACTACCATAGCTGAAATCCCTCTCTCACGTGCCAAACGTCTTTTGAATTGAGTTGAATCTTTTCTAATTGTTCTCTTTAGTTCTAAGTTGAAATGATGACCCCTCTTCCTGTGATGACCTCCTGATCGAGTTTTCCTCTCTACTGTTCCCGCTTTTTTAAACTTATTCACCATTCTCTTGATGGTTCTTGAATGAACTTTGAAGATGTCTGCCAGATTATGAATGTTGGTACCATTACTGAAGGCCTGAATGATCTTTTTCTCTCACCATTGATAGTAAGATGTAGTAGCGCTGACACAAAACGATTTTAAACTGTCCTCTTTCTAGTTGAATAACTTCTTACGAAAAATGGAGTCAAGATGGCAAAATGTTCTATCTGAAAACATGGAAGAAACTCAATTAATTTAGTGTTTTTTTTTTAGGTATTAAACATTCCTTTGCATGGACATATATGCTGTTACACGATTTGAAAAATGTTGCTGTTACAGCAGATATATATGTGTGTGTGTGTGTGTGTTGTATCTGTGTGTGTGTGTGTGTATGTGTGTGTGTGAGCGCGCGCGTGCGTGCGTGATGTTGGGGTTGGTTCCAAAACTAATTGACTGTATTGCCCACTTACTGGAAGGCAGCTCTGACCTTTTCTTAATGGCATGTCTTTACTCCTGATTTGAGGCAGATGGTCTCTAGATAATTTGAAAAACCCTGAATGGTTTGATTTCCAATATTTTCAAAAATATTTATTTTTCTTTATTTAGTTCCGTATTTGCACAAACGAGTTTTGTTCGCTCATATCAAAATTGCATACACATCTATTTTATTCTTGCGCCATCGTATCTCAATATTAGAAAGAACATTGACAGAGCACTTGGGAAGTTTAAATTCACCACTCACAAAAAAAATGTAAGAAAAAAAAAGTTTCATGAATTTAACCGGCTGTAACCCTAACTGTACAGTCAATGTCTGCCAAAAGTTTCCTTATAAGGAAACGGCTATATCTCTTTCGAATATGCTTATTTTGTGTTTTTGATTTTGTATTTTTGTTTTCGCATTTTCTGTTTTGTTTTGTTTTTTGATTTCTCTGCAGAATTTTACTTAAAATCCGTTATGCATGAATGCTATCCCCGCGTTGAATGAATTTAAGCAATAATTTCTATAAATAATCTCCAAAATTTTTGAAGAACAAGAAATAAATATTTGTATTGCATCTATTGTCCTCATCTTTGTTGTTGTCATCATAACATTTCAACCTTCCTCGGGTGTGTATTGTATCTGGTTAACCTGCGGGCAATTCTAAACTGAACCCTTTATTTAATCTATGGGAGTAGACTGTTCTCGTTCCATTCGTATATCGTTTAGCTCTTATTTATAGTACTGCTCACTTATTACTTACCTGCTTCCACTGAGTCCAAGAACACACTCCCCAGCCCAGGGATTGAACTCATAATTACTATGCCACCAATCTTACGAACCAACGTTTCAACACACTAGGCCATTTGCTATAGTAAACTTGGAGCTTTAAACCTAACCTAACTGCTGATTAAGGATGCTGATGCTGTTGTATAAAATGTTTTGATTTCTGCTACTGTTGGAGACTTACTTTCCTTCGTCTGTCTTTCTTTATTAGTGGCTTCCATATTGTATTTATTTCTATGCTAGGCCTATTAAAGATGTCCTCATAGACTAGCATATGCGCTGATTCTTTCAAACGTCTAACTCATCACTGGTCTTCTTTGTCCAGTAGTTTATCTTCATTTCACAGATTCCATAATCTACATAAACTATAATAATTTATTTAATCGACGGAGATAAATTGCTGTTGTTCTGCTGCCCAAGTCTAAGGATATCTCGTCTAGTTCTTTTTTTTAGTTCTGTTCAATTATTGCTCACCTGTTTCCACTGAGTTCTAGTACATACGTCTCAACCCAGGGATTGAACTCACAACTACTATGCCACCAAATTTAACGCTTTAATTCACTAGGCTATTCTCTTTGGGAAATTTAATACCTTGAACTTAAATATAAATCTGCTGTGGTTGCTTTTCAGGTTTCACTGTTGCTTGTGTTGAAGTCTCTTTTTTATTAGCGGCTCCTTTTTTGTATTTATTTTTATGCTAGGCCTACTAAGGAGATCCTCATAGTCTAGCATAAGCGATGATTCTTTCAGACGTCTAACACACCAGTATTCTTCCTTGTCCTTGTAGCTAAATACATAGATAGATAGATAGATAGATAGATAGATAGATAGATAGATAGATAGATATAATTACTATTCCAACAAATTCAACGCTTTAATTCACTCTCTGGGATTGGGTACCTCAACGTGGTGTAATAGTTAGCAAGCTTGTCTCGCTAGAACAATTACGACCAAGTGGTGAGTTCGGTCCTTACTGGGTACCCCGTACTTTAGGCATTGTGTCACATCTAAGCTATGCTTAGAAAATCACCTCTCTGGGAAATTTGATGCCCTAAACCTACTGCGGTTGCTTTTCATGTTTTACTGCTGCTGCTATTGAAGTCTTGTCTGTCTATCTTTATTAGCCGTTCCCATATTGTATTTATTTCCAGGCTAAGCCTACAAAAGAGGTCCTCATGACCTAGTATATGCGCCGATTCTTTTAAACGTCTAACCCTCCAGTATTTTCACTTGATTCCATAGTAACCGATGAAATAATGTAAATAATGATAACTCCTCATCCTAGAAATTCAGACGAAAATGGAATGTATTTACTTATCATGTTTCGGAAATCTTATTTCCATCACTGTTTCTTTAAGTCACATATTTCTGCTGGCCTTCCTCAGTAGTAAAATAAATCAAATTCGTTAAAACAACCGGTTATATTATAAGCATGAGGAAGGCAGATGATTATATCAGCCGGAATATTTACTGTAGTGTAACAAATATATAAACGAAATTCAGAAAATTTTTGAAATTATGAAAATAGTTAATCTAAAATAATCCCGACAACAATCCTCTTCCTCTTCAACTGACTTATCCCTCCAGAAAGTAGCCACTGATGGCTTACACGATTATCCTTCAGTATCTGTCTATATTTCTGAGATGAGGTATTATGTACACTATTTACATTATTCGGACTATTGTCCTTATCTTTGCCGCCATATTTATTACAACGTTTCGGCCTTTCAGTATCTGTCTATATTTCTAAGATGAGGTATTATGTACACTATTTACATTATTCGGACTATTATCCTCATCTTTGTCGCTGTATTTATTACAACGTTACGGCCATTGTACGCTCTTTCGTTAGTTAGATCCAGTGACAGGACCCGATAAGTGTGAGTTCAATACCAGGTTAAGGCGGTGGAGAACCTGCAGAGGGGGATTAAGAGGAGATAACTGATAACTGACATCCATTAACATGGCACGTGGAACTAGAATAGTCTACTCCAGTGAGTGAAATAAAGGGTTCAGTTCGATATTCCAACCACCTGAAGTACAACGGCCGAAACGTTGTAATAGATATTGCGACAAAGATGACGATAATAGTCCGAATAATGTAAATAGTGTACGAGTATCCTTTTTTAATATTTTAAAAATCTGTAACTGTTCTAGTTATTTTCCTATTGCCTTCTCCGCGGTTTTTATTTCAGAGCTTTCTTTCTTTTTCCTAGATTGGTTGACAATGAAATCGAGCGAGGCTAATCTCTCTACCGATAGCCAAGAGGAGAGGAGTGGATCCCTACATTTCTAAAATCGCCAAGTGAAGGCTCGACATTCCAAAAACCTGAAGAAGGCTGGAGCGTACAACTGCTTAGTTGAAGGCATTGCATTCAAAATATATTTAGTTAAAGCCATAAAATTGTGTTAAAATTATTTAGATTTTAACATTAAATAACACATAGGGGTATTAATATGCCGCTAAATAAAAACAATCAACCAACTAATGAACCAACCAACCATTTTTACTACCATCAATACAGAACTTTCCAAAAAAGATCCAAGCTGCTATGTTCATAGGGTTGAAGCATGCGCATTTCTAACGTATTCCATTGTTCCAATCAGAGTCCTTCTTCCCAAGAACCGCTATTTTGTGGAACTGTGGGGAAAATTGTGAAAATGGCCTACCTCGGAAACGCGTTCGAATCTGCGCAGTATGTAAACACTGGTCCTTCCAACTGTAAAAAAGAAAACCAAAATGGCGGCGCCCGCGTTTTATGCCGAGTGGTCTCGGTCAGTTAACGTGAAATCTCGTTGCCTCGTGATTCGCATGCAAATCGTGGTCGGTCCGCAGCTGTATAAAGCAGGCTCGTTTCTGCTGTTTCAAACAGAAGGCTTTCGGCTCGTGAGAAGGTTGGACGTGCGACACCGGTTTTCTTTGTGCCTACCTGCTATCACCCGTTGAATTGTTGAGTTACACACCACAGGAACCTATCCCGCTTGGATTCTTCCCCGAACACGAAAATGTTAATCTCTTTGAGTATAGGCCAATGGTTTTCTATGCCTCATATCCTCATAATCTTCACTCCCTAATTAAACCTCTTACGTTCCGTTGTGGTAAAAGCCAGTTACCTTCCTTACTATCATGAAGTGACTGATTCATTCATAAGTAGTCCTGTGTAATTGTCTAGAAACGAAAGCTAATACTATTGCAGTGACTTGTTTAGCTGAGTATTGAATATTACTGTCATAACTCACTTGGTCGGTGTTGTGTCATTCCAGACCCCACATCACAACACGTTCATATCACATACGCTATTCAGTAACCATCTACTTTGAATGTATCTTAGCTTTTGTAACGGGTGAATTTTAGTGGAAAAAAATTCTGCCTTGTAAAAGGAAAGAAAATAAGAAAACTTCGAGTTTTAAGACGTCTCAGCTATCAGCTATATGTCGATATATTTTCAATTTTGCAAAGTGCATAACTTGAAAGGGGGGATGTTGAAGATGATCATGATACTGGTAACGAGACTGGGGTGGGGATGGAAAAGAAAACCTCACTCGAAACTTTTTTTTTAATCCATTATCCACTCATTTTTTCAGCATCTCTACAATTGGCTAAGATAATGTTACATCGGTTGATATTGAATATTAAATGCATTCGAGTCGGTGAGAATATATTTTGGTGAGATTGATTTAAAAGACCCCTTATTCGTTATAAAAGACAACTTTAGATATAAAAACTTCTATAATGTGCTTCACATCAGGAAACAAAAAATATTACAAATGCCATATATATAGACGCAGTTTAGAGTGAAATATATGTTTGTGTGCTTATTTTTCCTACACATATACACGCTTCATATATACGTCATATAAATATGAACATAAAAAATGTAGAGAGTGGCATATACTTTATTCTATCGTAATATACAAACGTATGTACAAGGTGTCCATAAAGTTCGTGTGTACTTTAAAAAACGTATAACTTTATTTGTATTTGTGATAGAAATAATTTGTAAAAAGGATTAGAAAGAAGTAAATCTATATGTTTTAAGGTTTTATTGAAATTTTATTTAAGTTTCCACATGTCCTCCATCATTAGCAATACGAAGGGTAATACGATTTTGCAGTTCACGGAAAACATTTGCCAACTAATTTACAGTAATGCCTGAAATAATATTAGTTAATTTAGCTATACTTAAAACTAGATACATTAAACTTTATAATATTTTTTACAGATTATTTCAATTGCAAATACAAATAATGTATAATTTTTTTTAAAGTGCACCGAACTTTATGGACACGCTGCACATTAAAAAATATGGGTAAATAGCAGGTCAGACCGCTTGGATGACAACTGGTCTATCGCAGAAAGAAATGGCAACCCAATGCAGGAAAAAATCTGCCTCGTCAGTCATGTATGGAATGATCGTCTAAGTGTGTATCACGCATGGCACATTACTGACTTTCTAACCCAGAGAACATTCCAGCAAACCCGAATAGCCAACCCTGGCTCACTCTTAAATGTGCTTCAGCCCTAGCCTACCGTAACCACTAATGCGATATATATCACAGAGAACGGTGTAGCAGGGCACTTTCTTCCTTCAGAAAAGCCCTCAATCATTACAAGAGAGTACTAGAAATTGCAATGTGTAGCTATGCACAAACACTCCAGGCTAAGGTCGAAAGCACACAATCTCTTCAGTTCTAGAAGACCTCCAACTAAATTTTAAATAGAAGAAATAAACCAGTGCCCACTATTATAAATGGTTTTTGAGCTCATATCATCCTCGTCAGATATGGTAAAGCTTTTCGCAATAATCTTTGTCTCTAATTCCAAGGTTACATGGCAAAGACCATCACCTTCCCAATTTCTCGGTATATATTTTTATTACAGCTCGAGAAGTCTCAAGACTTACCAAAATCACTGACATTAAAGATGTTTTCGGCCCAGATAAAATCCCAGTGGCTGTGCTTAAGACTATTAACCCTTCGTCATCCTCAATTATTAATCGCCATTTGAAGGAGAAATCTTTCCCAAGACTTTAGAAGGTGCCAAGTGCATCCCGTTTTCAAGAATGTGAATGAAAGGTCATTTCAGTATGGACCCATCAGCAGACCTTTTGGAATCGATAATCAACAAGAAGCTTGTAGATTACTTCAATAGTCTCTTTTAAGCGAAAATCATATGGATTTCGATCGGTTCGGCCAACTGATAATATTCAATCATTACTCACAAAATCAGCGAGGTATTAGACATATATAGGCACTATAAGTGCATCTCAAGGACGATCTTTCGAAGGCCTTGGACAAAGTGTGGCATAAAAAGTTATTGCACAAGATTTTACGTATGTAATTCCTGGAACAGTCTTCTCAACGATGAAGTACTTCCTAATGGTTAGGTCTTTGAGGTTGTTTATGACCAGTACTCAGAGATTTTAATTCCCAGCCCTCCAAAAGATCATCTTTACAGTTTTCATTTTCTTAAAGTGTCTCCTATTCATTGTGGATGATAAGTTATTTTCCACACTACAATCTCTTTCACACGGACGAATCCTTTCATTCTATCGCTATTTCCATGGAAAGCGTTCAGAAGAACTGTTTTCCTTAGTTACACCGTTTCTAACATTCACGGCTAAGAGACTTCTTGCTACGCCTATTGTAACGGACTACCCTAATTCCTTTCGTATTCCATTGGTGAGATGTAAGTTCCACTCGAAAAGCTTCTTCTCACCAACCGCTGCTCTATAAAACGAACTCCCATGAGGATGCTTCCAGAATCAGTAGAAACTTAACCTCTCTAATTCTAAGGTTAACTGGTATCTTTCCTACATGTCCCCATAAAATGTACCGTTTACTCAGTAATCATCTATCTCGACTCACTTTAGGTCTTGTAAAGGGTGAATATTTTTGAAAAAAAAAACAACTGGTATATATATATATATATATATGTCTATATTTCTGAGATGAGATATTATGTACACTATTTACATTATTCGGACTTTTCTCCTCATCTTTGTCGCCATATTTATTACAAGGTTTCGGCCTTTCAGTATCTGTCTATATTTCTAAGATGAGGTATTATATACATTATTTACATTATTCAGACTATTCTCCTCATCTTTGTCGCCATGTTTATCACAACGTTTCGGGCGTTTATGCTCCGGTCTTCTTCAGATGGTTGGTCGAACTGGACCCTTTATTTTGCTCACTGCGGTATACTGTTCTAATTCCACGTCCCATGGATTTCCTGTTAATTCCCCTCTGAAAGTTCTCCACTGCCTTAACCAGGTATTGAACTCACACTCTTTGGGTCCTGTCACTGGCTCTAACTAACGCCTTTATCCACTGTGCCATGTGTCCTCAATGGGAATTGACAGGATTAATTAAATGTGTTCAAAAGCTTAACACACAGCTACTGCTGGTTATGGATTAGTAGAAATAAAAGTGAAATTAACCTTAAATTTTCAAATTAGAGTTTGGCTAATTACAGAGTAATCTCTACTTATTTAATGAACTGTTACCTGAATTCAAGTGGTCCACGAGCGATCCCTCCTCTCACGCTTAATGCGGTGGTCGAAATCAGACGGAGACGGCAAAATCCCGCCTGTCGCGAATGTCAAATCGGGTGACCCGTACGCGGACGCTTCCACGTGCGAAGCGACAGCAGCCGAAGAGGATGCGTGGGGCGAAGACGAGCGCCACTGACGCAGACCCCAACAATTGCAGCCGCCCCGTAGCCACGAATCACAACCGACAGGGCAGGCTCCAGCGGAACGAAAAGAAAGGTCTTTCGTAATACCGTGACGGCACCGGTCGCGGTTCCGGCTTAGAGGCTTTCAACCATTATCGCGCGGAAGCAGCGTGGCACCGCCGCTCGTTCGAGCGAGAACGCGAACCGTTTCTCCGATCCCGCAGTTCTTCTCGTACTGAACGGGATAGCCATGGCTATGGCCGTCGTATCACACGTGCCGATTGGTAGGATAAAACTAACATGTCTCATGAGGGTCTAAGCTGGATTTGGGTTGAGTGCAGAAGAGTATTTTGCTTTATTTATATTCTTAATTCTATAAATAAAAATATTACGTGATCTCAAGCTTAATAGTTGCATTTAATGTAATTGGTGTGTGGAATATGTTCACCAGGATAGATTCATATATTGTAAAATGTAGGTAGAAATATGTGCCTGGAATGCCGTTTTGATGTGCTCTGATCTCAGTGATTCGTGTGTGTAGTTTACGGAACTTTTATAAGAATCTCCGACAAGATCTTGTGAAGAAACCGGCGTTTCAAAGCACAAAGGACTGACAAAGAGAAATATAGCAGATTAAAAGATTTTTATCAACAAAGCACGTAACGCTCGAAGATACAGACATGAGACATTGATTCGTCACTCTCTTGTTCGCTTTCTAGCCATTCCTGAATAGTTCAAAGCTGCATCAATATGTTCGTAGCATAATGATGAAAATGCATTTATTTCATAAGACGATTATTTATATTTTCCACATACTTTCAATCTTTGTCAATGCACATGATTCGATGTTGAATATGAATCACGGAGATTGGACATAGATAGATGGATCATTATTTTATAACCTAAAAGATAGTCAAGGCATAATTATGGGCCTTGTATTTTGTGACCAATAATATTAGCCAAATTGAATCCAAGCCAGCGTGATCAACTTGTCCTATGACATAAAGATAATCGAGGGACAATATTGGGCCTTGTATTTTGTGACCAATAATATTAAGCAAATTGAATCCAAGCCAACTTGATCAACTTGTCCTATGACATAAAGATAATCGAGGGACAATTTTGGGCCTTGTATTTTGTGACCAATAATGTTAAACAAACTGAATTCAAGCCAACCTGATCAACTTGTCCTATGACATAAAGACAATCGAGGGACAATATTGGGCCTTGTATTTTGTGACCAATAGCGTTAAACAAATTGAATCCAAGCCAACGTGATCAACTTGTCCTATGACATAAAGATAATTGAGGGACAATTTTGGGCCTTGTATTTTGTAACCAATAATATTAAACAAACTGAATCCAAGCCAACGTGATCAACTTGTCCTATGACATAAAGATAATCGAGGGACAATTTTGGGCCTTGTATTTTGTGACCAATAATATTAAGCAAATTGAATCCAAGCCAACTTGATCAACTTGTCCTATGACCTAAAAGATAGTCGAGGGGCAATTTTGGGCCTTGTATTTTGTGACCAATAATGTTAAACAAATTGAATCCAAGCCAACTTGATCAACTTGTCCTATGACCTAAAAGATAGTCGCGGGACAATTTTGGGCCTTGTATTTTGTGACCAATAATGTTAAACAAATTGAATTCAAGCCAACGTGATCAACTTGTCCTATGCCTTAAAGGATAGACGATGCAACATACTTCATCAATTTCGGCATTTTACACGAAATTGCAGTTTAGCTGACAATTCAAATCTCCTTTCCAACTGACCTGTAACTGGTTTCATTGTAATATGAGCAATGAGTAATGTCTTGTCTCACCCCCTGGAGGAAGACCATTCAAATTGTTCCAAAGTGCAACGTCCGTTCGACTAATTCTGTCGCTTATAAATGCATCACATAAAGAGAATAACATTGAACAGCGAGATACAATTCAGTTTGACGTTGCAAATATGGCGTGGAGAAAGAAGCGAAGTATTTTATTGCACTCTCTTAATTTGTCCGACCTCTCCCCTGAAGTTTTTTTTAAGCATCTAGACCATTTCTTTACAGGCAATGGCCTCTACAAAATAGAATCAAATTCAACAAATTTGTCGACTTCATGAATAAATTATTCTTGAGGAATGGACGTGAAGCTTTGCTGCTAAAGAAGAATAATTTTAGTAATGTTGAGCGGACCGATCTAGCAGACCATTACTACTCGTTAGTTAGTCATTCGGTAACCCATAGTGTGGCCTTTATTGAAATATTTCCTGCTTAGTATATTGATATAAAAACAAAGAAGAAAATGATTCGATTAAATAAATAAAATTTCGCTGCAAATATTGATTCATTGTTTTTTTTACATTTTTAAAAAAAACTTTTTGTGGGTTATTACAATTCTAAACATATTTTACATTGCAACAATATTTTGTCGAGTGAATATAGCATTAAAAATTCATAGAGAATAAACTTGATTTTTTCAGAAACAGTTCCTACTATTTAACCCATAGCTGTAGGGAGATGAATTCCAACCTTTCCCAAAAGTATTTGATTGTAAGTGAATGTAACGAACACGAATGGAATTTGACCTCTGTTGTCCAACTTGAAAATTGGACCCCGATAATTTTCATGTTGAACAACGTAGATAGATAGATAGATAGATAGATAGATAGATAGATAGATAGATGAAAACACTGTTGGATAGATGAAGAGATAGATAGATAGATAGATAGATAGATAGATAGATATTAATAGGATGACATTGATCTTAAAAATCAGATATATAGATAGAACAAGAGATTTCTTTTTTTGGATAGAGTGTATGCGGGAATCATTTGCTCGTGTCATTGCAATATGTCTAATTGATCCGGCAATTTTCATGTTGAACAAGATAGATAGATAGATAGATAGATAGATAGATAGATAGATAGATAGGATTAGACTTTTGTCTTTTTTGTTCTTGTTCTCGAAAAAGAGATTTCTTATTTTGGATATAGTGTATGCGGGAATCATTTCAATGGTTACTCGTATCATTGCAATATGTAGATATGTAAATTGGCATACATACATACGCACATACACACAAACACACATACGCACATAAATGCATACACATACATAAATGGTCGACTTGTCGTTTTCCGGGAACAGCCATTTAGAAGGGTGTCCAGTACATGTTCTGCAGATTCGTGTTCAGGCACACGTATTCAATCCCCGCAGAGCTCACCTGTAGTTAATACTGCCGCAATGCTGTACCAAAGTTGGTTACAGTTTCAGGGAGAGAGAGAGAGAGAGAGAGAGCACATAATATCGATTGGTCAACGGTTCGCTCAAACACTCAGTGATGATAATTTGTGAAAGCAAGCTCTCTAAACCCTTGTCTATACACACACACACACACACACACACACACACACACACACACACACACACACACACACATATATATATATATATATATATAAGTGAACATTCAAGTCAACACTCAGGGGTGAAAAGGCTGTTTCATGCTAGACGCAATCGTCAGGCCGCTGTTGGATTTTTCCTCGACTATTGATATATATGAGTCAGTGGTGCATTATGGGTAATCTATTCTGGCAGTTATTTTTGCGGGAGTGGCTTCTTTGTTCATTTATTTGTTACGGTTCATTTATTTTACTTGTTTTTCATTTTCAATTTTTATTTTTTATTCTTTTCGGCTTTTGATGTTTTTTTAGCGTAGTAAAAAAATTGCAAGAGATTTGCTTAGGTCGCTTATTTAAAAGTTTTTTTTGGTCTGGGAAGATAATTAAAGCTATTTATTCGTCCAATGTTTAGATAGCTTGCCGTAGTCTATTCTGTTATTTTGGCGGGTGGATAGTTTTTAATTTATTTATTTGGATTGATTATTTTTACTTGTTTTTGCTTATTTATGATTATTCTTATTAGTTCTAACGGTTATTTTAGCGAGGGCGATTTGTTAATTTATTCATTTATTTATTTATTTGGATTAATTTTTATTTGTTTCTTATTTATTTACTTATTTTTTATTTTGTATATTTTATTTACTCTATTTGGTTTTCGATATTTGAGTAACGTAGTTAAGCTTGTTTTTTGTTATCGTTATATGGCAGTTATAGCTATTTTTACGTTCAATTTTTGGATTGGTTATTGTAGTCTATTTTAACGGTTGTTTTGGCGGGAAAATAAACTAAATATTAATAAACAAATTAAGAATTTGTTTATTAATATTTAGTTTATTTTTTTATTTGGGTTGATTATTTTTACTTGTTTTTTATGTATTTTTATTTATTCTGTTTCGTCTATTCTAACGGGAGAGGATTGTTTATTTGTCTATTATTTGTTTGGGTTAATTCATTCTACTTGCTTTATATTATTTTGTTTATTTCTATTTATTCATTTCAGTTTTCGATTTTTAAGTAACGTCGTAAAAATTTGTTTTCATGTCGGCATTTTGAGATGAGCTCACATCGTTTATTTAGCAATTTGTTTTTGGTCTGGGAAGCTAATAATAGCTATCCAACATTCGCAGCCTGGCGATTGCGTCTAGCATGAAACAGCATGTCGTCTCTGTTGACTTCAGTGTTCACTTTTATATTTATATTTACACATGCTCTATCTCTGATATTGAGCACTATATCCCATAAATATAGCACAACTTAAACCTATATTTCTTGATATATATATATATATATATATATATATATATATATATATATATATATATACTTACAACAGCGTCATGGTTAGCATGCTCGTCTTGGAGATAGGTTAAGCTCGGCTAATGCAACAGTGTTTCACCGTGGTGTAATAGATAACAAACTGTAGCTGGTCCGGTCTTTATAGAGCTCCCTACAATGTGTGCCTTTTTCGCAAACAAACATTGTAAATAGCAACAATGTAAAAAAAAACGAAAGGTATTTTCATGGAGCCGTATTTAGCTAGTGTGTCTTGGGCATTTTATACTTACTGGGTACTCAATAAATCTTGCCTTACGTCAGACTAAATCAAGCTTTATAAATGGATTTGGTCACCCGTTAAGGCTGTAAGTAGAAATTCTGTTGACTTTTATTGCTGTATGTTAGCTTTTTTATTATACGAAAGTAAGCTTATTAAATAAGTATAACGCTAAACTGTTACGATGCTGATCTCACAGACGATTATTACAATAATTATTTCGGTCTACATGGTATGCTGAATACAGTTCTTTTGTCTCACTAAGCTCAGTTCAGAAAATGCATTCTCTCTCTTTCTATCTATTCATTTATATATATATATATATATATATATATATATATATATATATATATATAAATGTGTGTGTGTGTGTGTGTGTGTGTGTGTGTGTGTGTGTGTGTGTGTGTGTGTGTGTGTGTGGTGTAATCAAATAAAATTTGGCATTTTATCTAATAACGAATCCGTCTTCCATTCCGCATATTTCATGTGCCCCTCACGAAACATTTCTGACAACACGAGGTCATTCCAAACGTTTGACCTCAACAGGGGAGAACAAAAAAAACGAATTTCCATCCAAAATACGAAACGAACGGAATAGAATGGAGCAAACGAACGAAAAAAAAAACGATACACTGAATTGAGAATTAAAAAATAAAATAAAAAAAAGCGCAAAACGGAGAATTATTAAAATAAAAAAAAGAGATTTTTCCCCATTATTATTTTTTTTTTTTATCCTGGCATTTAAAGCTGAAAAGCCCGCTCGTAATTAGATCTGCATAAACGATTCCCTGCAATTATCACTGGGATCCTTCCCATGGCTTGTTACCACAAATCCTTACGCACTACAAATTTTGTTTATTTCTAATTTTGTGAGCGTCTGTATATGCATATGTGTATACCTGTGTACAAGTAAATTGCATGTGCATACACGTAAGCACTAATATGCAATTAAATATCTATATGTCAGTATATGTCTTAAATAGGCTGAAGTATATTATGCATGTTGCTTTATCCGTATGCATGCATATAAATGTTTCTATATCTAAATTAAATAAGAAGCAGCCATACGCCTTTTAATGCTTCCGATTTGAACATATTTTACTCTATTGTTCGCTTGTAAAAAATGTCTACTTCCTTCAGACGAGTTTGGCAAAAGACCATTATATTCGAAAGTCTGTGCAGCATCTTTTATAAAGTAAATGATGCACCTACCATAATTTTCTTAATTAAAAGGTTGATAAACATAACTGATAGACATAATAATCATATCAATTACCTCCCTTGAATTTTATTTTGCACTTTTTTAAAATCGAATTCACATCATTTAAGGTAGCAAAGCCACTAAGACACAATAGAGTAATGCATGTGAGAGAATTAGAAAACAGAAGCATTATTAGAGAGTGAGAACAATAAAAGAGTAACCAGGAAGACAATAGATAATGATTGACGTTGCATTTAAATTTGTGAAAATAAAATCTGCCTGGAAATCAAAAGACCGGTAGAGAGTTTCACAAGAGTTGGTTGGTTGGTTTGTTTTGTTTTGTTTTACGGTATATCAACCTCAATGGGTTTTTTAATGCCGACAAAATTTTATTCCTGTAATATATATATATATATATATATATATATATATATATATATATATATATATATATATATATATATATATATATATTGTTGGTAATTTTTTTCAAAAAATTTATTGCTGTTAATAATTTTTTAAAATGTATTTCTGGTATTAAAAGCTATTCTTACACTTCCATATTGTTTTGACCCCCAGTTTGAGGGTTAACTATTTACCCATAGCGGGGACCCTAACAGGCACCACCCACCGGGTTAAGGTGAAGTGAGAACACCAGCAATTAAGAGGTTGTTCCACGCTCCTCAAAACCTCCTGATCAGAGACATAGTTTATCGTCTTACCCAAGACGCGGATGTAGTTTGCCATCATACCCAGGACAGTTTTCCCAAGGGACAAATACGAGAAATAAAACTGTTAGTATAGAACTTAGAGTTACATCGAGCTAATTCAACAGTAAATTGAGGAGACATTTTTCCTTATCTACTACTGCGCTTAAATTTCTAAAGTTTAGGTACTATAGTAAAGATCTCATCCGAGCAATTACCATGAAGGTATTTATAGAAAAGGCACAGGGAAGCCACTTTAAGGGGGTGGGAAAGTGACTGAAGCCCAGGTCAGGATCAATAATATTGATAATTCTTCTTTTGATTTTCTCAAGAATCTCTAAATATAAAGCAGGAGAACCAGACCATATGTGGCAGCAATATTCGAGGCATGGACGAATGGTAGAATTCTAGATATATAAGATTCAGGAAGAGAAAAATTGCCTAGTACTACACAGTGAGCCAACATTTTTAGCATCAGATCTAGCAACGGATTCAATATAGTCGTCTCACTTAATTTCAGCCAAGAAGGCGCAACGAGACTCTCTCTTGGAGGTTAGCATCAGTCATACTGATGGAAGGCACACAGTGATATCTTAGATGATTACTAGATACCAGTTTTGTTTTGGAAGCGTTAAAGTTAATAAGCCATTCTATGTCCCAGTTAACATCAGATTGTAGTTCTTTTTAATTCGCCCGTAATTTGACCTTATCGAACAGATCAGAATTACTATCGATTGAGGAGTATCTGTTCGTGTCCATTATCATAGCTATCAAATTGGGTGCTGATGCCACCAGAAAGATCAATGATAAAAATTAAGAACAAATCAGGACCAAGTATAGAGCCCTGGGGGACACCTGTATTATTACAGGAAGATCTAGAAGAGTGGCCGTTCAGGATAACTTTCATTTCACGATTAGATAAGAAAGCGTTCAAAAAGTCTTCTGAATAACATCGGTAAATAAACAGAAGCCAATATGTTTTTCTTTGCTTTTTCTTTTTTTTTTTTTTTTTTTTTTTTTTTTTGTCTAACTTCGTATTTTATGAGGAATTGGCCAGGCAATATTGTAAAAGTCATTGCTCTATGGCACGGATAGATGTCCAAGAAGAACGGTAGCTGAATCAGAGTTACAAAAACTAAAAAGAACGCGTTTAATTCTGATTAGAATTCGGCACATATCTGCAAAAATGGTTACATATCTGTTATTGTCTGTCTATTCTAATTCAGTCGATGTGAGTCGGTCACTTATTTCATTCGGTTCAATTCGAATTGATTTGAAGCGAATGTGACGGCCACGATTATTGCACTCAGAACAAATGAATAACCAAATCGTCTATCCTCAAGTTCCGACATCAAAATACTTTTATAATTCATCCCATCTTAGTTTTATTTCTGTCTCTCAGTCTTCTTTCTTTCTTTCTTTCTTTCTATCTATCTATCTATCTATCTACCTACCTACCTACCTACCTATCTATCCATATATATATATATATATATATATATATATATATATATATATATATATATATATATAAAAAGGCTTAAACACTAATATTCCATGGTCATAATTTATTCCATTGGAATCGTAAATACGATCCAATTCATCAGACGTACAAATTCAATAAGAAAACAGAAAAGACAACTCCGGAAATAAAAAATAAAATTTAGAGAGAGTGTAAGTATGAGGGTGTGGGACGAATGTTAGAGATATAGAGAGGGGTAACAGACGAGAGAAGGTGGGAGATTAAAGTTTAACAGAGAGAAGTTTTAAAGAGGGGAGTCAAAGACGGTTTAAGTGAGAGAAATATGAATGTTCTCGAATGCCTAATACATTAAAGATGTAACCGGTAAGGATACATTTTGTGGCGACATACACACACAATAGACGATCTAATCTTAAAGATCAGAAGAAGAGAGAGGGAGAGGAAAGAAAAGAAAAAGTTGTGTGGTAGAGAGATGGGACGGGGGGGGGTTCTAAAACTGAAGGACATTTATAAAAGAGCCGCTGTGTAATTAAGAAAATTTCACAAAATTAAAATCGACTACAGGTTACAAATCAAATATAAACATATAAAAAATAAATATTACGATTATCTACTCTAGGAAATGTACAGTTTTTGGGGTATATACCGTATATAACTAGTGGGCGAGTCAAAATGACTTATTTCCCTTTATAGTCGACCAATAGAAGGTTGGCCAATCAGAAGCCGCACACCACTGTATCCGTCGTGTATAAAGGCGGCCATCTTTGTTTTGCTACGGCGAACAGGACAGACGAAAGAACTACGCCCTGCTACTTTGCTGCGATATCCACTGCGAACCTGCACTACGCTTTCCTACTGTCTCCGAAATATTCACTGCCAACCTCTGGATTCTATACTCGAAGACGACCGTCATGAAAATGTCTAACAGGAAGGACCTATATTTCTATGTTCAAAACACACGTATACACACATCATAACATATTTACATTTGTACATACATACATACATATAGGTACACCAAATATATCATGTACACATATACATATATATATATATATATACATACATAAACACACACACATACATACATATGTACATACATCCATACAATCCACTTCTATTATATACATATTTACACACATATATACATCGGACATTTTACGTGCACATAAACATATATACATAAAACCTTATATCACCATACAATTACATGCACGCATCTAAACAAATAAACAATGTATGCTTATATCTATCCGTCTAACTATACATACATACATACATATACACCAATATAGATATATATGAATACATACATACCAAAGTATACACACACACATATAAATACATCTGCATACACACCTACATATACATACATTCATATACGCATACATATATATACATATATACGCATACATATACATATATATATACATACATACATACACATACATATACACCCCTACATATATACACAAATCACATATACATTTGGGCAAAATGTAAAATTTAAAAATGTAAAATTTAAAAAAGTAAAAAAAATTAAATACATAAACATACACAATGATATATATAGATAAACATAATAGATAAACATAATCATTCCACTAAAATGTCATGCCCGATGTATTGAACTAAGATGGAACTGACATAAGTGACAACATGTTACAAAAAACGGTGTCTATGTTTTGAATCGTTTCTTTATGTACATTTTAAAAATATCTCATTACGAAGATTTAGATCTCGATTCTTTTAATTTTTTGTGCACAGATCATACCGATCGCGTGGAAGTTATTAGGGGATTCTAGCTCTTGATAAGTATCTCCATTTTAAAAGTGGGGGTTAATTTATCCACCAGATCCCAGTAGTGTTTGGATAAGGAAAATTTCTGAGGTATCTTATATTAAAAGAGCGTCTATGGTTGATGACGCTGCTTCCAATCACCGGCAGATATACCTATATATCTTTTTTCTGGTTTATATTTTTGTGGAAGATCTTTCGATTGGACAACCATTTAAGTTCGTAGATTGAGTTTCATTACTATGGAGTCTATTCTACAAATATGGAAGTAACGCATGTAACTAATTTTCAGTGTATTTTTACGTAGTAGATGTTTACTATGAAAGTGTTTATCAATTAATTTCAGAAATAAACTTTATTTTTAGAGAGCCTGCAATATGGTGGGTTAGACCATATTAATGTTTTAGTTCTATTATTAATTTAATCCCTTTTAATTCTTGTCCAAAACCATTATTTTTGAGGGGATTATATATAAATTTATTATCGTTAAAGATTTTTTGGCTAGAAGATTCACAGTTTTGGGGATGTGATCTATGATTGGACGTTGATGTAAGTGTTTTCAACTTTATGGAAGGGTTATTATCGATTTTGAGTAATATCCAAAATGCATTTTCAGGTTGGAAGATATATTTAATTTGAAGGCCCTAATTATCTTCTTGTGTAATTCTGACCGTTGCTTAGGGACAATGATTAAGCCATATATACATTTAGAATATATATATATAAATATTTATATATATATATTTTCATTATATCTTATATATAAGTATTGATCTTCTTGACGCTAAAATAATGTCCAGATCATTATCCGTTCCGAAATAGAAGGGTAAAATCCAAGATGTCAAATTGGATGAAATTTTTTTTTTGGGGGGGATCTTTCGGAACCATTTAATCGTCTCAGCCGAGTCTTTCCAAATGTTGACAGTGTATTTTTCCAGGACACATGATGTAATAATGATATTTTAGAAATTAACCAACTCAGATTTGGAGGATTGGACAGCAAATATTTAAAGTTTTTATCCTTGAAGAGAATGTATGCATTTTATATTAAATTGCCCATTCTGTCAGCAACTCCATATATACATTTATATATATATATAGTATACCTGGATTATTTGGATCGTGATTACGATTCCAATGTAATAATTTATAATCATGGAATATTAGTTTTAAGCCTTTTTATTTATATATATATATTCTATATATATATATATATATATATATTATATTTATTTTTAAAAAATATGATTCCTTCGGTACATAAGAGTTCTCATGTTTCAAAAACAAGAGCCGAAAACCTAAATATAATTATTAAAATTAAATTGAATTAATGTACCAAGCCCTGTTTCATCCCCAAGCAAAAATTTAGGAATAACCAATCTTGAAATTTATATATATTCACCACTAATATTAGATAGAGTAGATAATTGTAATAGATAGATAGATAGATAGATATATAGATAGATAGATAGATAGATTACCTATCAGATCAACAAAAGAAGACATTGCACTTAGAATATATGAAAGAATGTTCAATAACTTCTGAATATAATCTAAACATTAAGCATATTTGCATTATTCTTTTTAGTATTGGAAGTTATGATTTCCAGCGCTAGAAGCCAAGACCTCGACATAAGGATGGCGAATACACTCATTACAGTGTAATAGATATTTCTGATAACGTACAAAATTTCTATACAATATACATACACACACAGAGACACAGACACACACACACAGACACACACATATATATATATATATATATATATATATATATATATATACATATATATATATATATATTTGATACTATTTAGCGTTTGGCTAACTAAGCGTGAAAATTAAGCGAGAAATACTTAAGGCGAGGAGAAGCTATCACGAAAGACATACTGAGCGATGTCATTTTTTTTAACAAAAGAAAAGTGGTAAAGATTTTATTTTCATTTGCGAAGAAAAGTATTTTTTTTCGCAGAAGATAGGAAATTCGTAAGATCTCGGATCTGTCAGAATTAATTTATGTTATGACGCGGCGAATAAAAGATAGCAATCTGCCCATGGCAATAATGATACTTTCAAATTGGTCAAGAGGCTCGCAGGGCGAAATGATGGAAGATAAACGTAATTAGGTCGAGGATTCGACCGAGAAAAAGGATCAGCTGAGACCACCCCAAAGAAAAAGGAAGGGAAAAGAGAAAAAGGAAAAGAGAAACCATTAACTATCTTTCGAAGATATAATTTGGTTTTGGAAAGGGACCACCTGTTTTATGTCCAGACCTGGCCATGATAAAAGTTTGTTACCTGGACAGATTGTGGCGACAGAAGTACGAAGGCATTGAGGACACAAGGAGATTCTGATAATCACTTGTCGAAAATCTCGTTGATAAATTCCAGATAACATTCAGTTGAGATAGAGACCTAATGAACACACACATGAGTCGTGGGGGGTCCCAGTCGGGGAAAAGAAAGAAAAGAAAAAGGAAGATATTTTTTTCTTTGAGCGATAATTGTAAACTGAGGCCAGACTAGCCACACCCACACTGCCAAGCGTTCATTGGCTGAATGGTGGCGTGAGCGATGGGCGAAGAAAAACATATGAGAAAGAAGGGAAACCTGTTGACGCCTCTGAGGGGATTGGTGTGAGATACCAGTATGAGGAAGGAAGAATTTAGGAGGACAGTTCCCTTAAGAACACCTCTAAAATAGAAAGTAATGGACTTCCAAAAATGGAAAGTGATAAATTTTCCTGTCCGAAAACAAAGAAAATCCTTATTGTGGATTTGGAATTATCGAGGAACCCAAACCACGACAGGCCCACATCCGGTTTGTTGCAACTATGATAATGATGATGATAATAATACAATGTAACAATAATAATGACGATGATAAAAAAAATGACAGCTTAAAAAAAGTACTCTGAATTGTTAGAAAATGTCATATAAATTCCAGAGATAAAATATTAGCTTCTTTTCATATAGTGAGTCTGTATACAAATTTCCCCCTTCAGGAAACTGTACAGATTTGTGCAGATGCTCTTTATATCTAGGTCCTGATATCATTCCCGAACTCTTATTCTTTGAATTCATGTATTTGGCAACGGAAGATGTGGAGTTTAGTTTCAAAGACATTATGTATGTCCAGATTGATGGGGTCTCTATGGGTAGCCCTTTCGGTCCTGCTTTGGCCAACATTTTTCTTGGATATTATGAGATTATTGTTTGAGAACTGTCAGAAGCCGTATATGTAGACGTACGTGAGGTTGATGATACCTTCCCTGTTTGATACCATCAATGAGGCAGCTTGTTTTCGCCGACAATTGAATTCTTTTCATCCCTACCTGGTATTCACGATGGAGGTAGAGGAGGGAAAATTGCTTCTTTTTCTGTTTTAGTGGAACGTAAAGACAACAGATTTATCATTAGTGTTCATCGTAAACCAACCTTTACTGATTTATACACTAGTTGGAACTCTTGTTTCGCATTCTAGAAAGGTCAACTTAATTGTCACATCGTGCCTTTATGATATGTCCTTCATACACTCTCCAGCAACAGTTGGATAAGATTCATTACATTTTATGTAATAATGACTATCCTACTAATGTCATTAAGCGAGTGATGGAACGTAAGATCGAACGCTTCAGTAGACCCCCTGTGTTTGGTCCAAGTATATGTACAATTTACTAAAAATTGCCATGGTTTGGTGGAAAATGTCAGACTCTGACTGATAGATTTTATAACTCAGTTTTTTGCACTTTTTTTACTGCCAAGTTATGCATTGTCTTCAGAACTTGCCTTATTTTTCCTTCCTTTGTACAAGACTGTTTTTCCTATCGGAATAAAATTTATATAATTTATGAATTCAAATATCAGTGTACAGTTGAATATTTAAGATGAATGTGTCAAAGTCTCAAAACTCGGTTGGGTCAACACCTACTTGTATTTATTAGATTTAATCATCATAATCTCACTTGTATTTCGCAATCTTCGCATGAATCTACGATTGGACAACATCTTTTGGAGAATGAGCTATGCTCCTCGAAATTTTCTATCAACTCATTCTCTATTTTGAATAAGGCTCGTTCCAAATACCATTTGCAAGTGTTGGAAGCTGGATGTATTAAATTACAGCAACCTTCTTTATGTAAATAGAAAGAGATTTTTTTCGCTCACTTCATGTATTTCCATTAATTTCTTTTATATTTTACATTCCAGTTTGAGTATTTACAACTTTTGAATTTACGTACATTTTAATAGTTAATTTACATTTTAGACCTACTCCAAATCTTCCTCTATATTGGTTATCTATTCATATCAATTTTCATAAAATAATTTTACCAGCATCGGTCCTAGAAGTGTTCTCTCAAAGGTGCCTTGGTTTCAAAAAACATTGACACTAAACAGTGTTTGTCTAAATCAATTTATGCATTCTGCGGCATTAACTTGATATATATATATATATATATATATATATATATATATATATACATATATATATATATCGTGTGTAAAAGCAAAATTATTCAGTTCTTACATTAAGTTATGAACGTTGTATCTTAGAAATGGTTAAAGATATATAACTGACATTGTCCGAAATATTTATAACACTATTGGACACTACCTTGAACAATAAGAATGGATTTAGCTCTAAGTTGAAATGATGACCCGTCTTACTGTTCTGAAATCCTGATCCATTTTTTCTCTCTATTGTTCCCGCTTTTTTAAACTTATTCATCGTTCTCTTGATGGTTCTTGAATGGACTTTGAAGAAGGAGGTCAGACTATGAATGTTGGTATCATTACTGAAGGTCTGAATAATCTTTTTCCTCTCACCATTGCTCAAATAAGAAGACATAGTGGGGCTGACACAAAACTATTATAACCTGTTCTATTTCTAGGTGAATAACACAAAAGGTTTTTCAATGATTCTTACGACAAATGATGACAAGGTGGCTAAGCGTCTTATCTGAAAATCTGGAAAAAGAAACTTAATTAGTTTAGTTGGTTTTAGATATTAAACATTTTGTGGGATGGACAAATATCCAATGCTATTACACCCGGTATAAATATAATATATATATATATATATATATATATATATATATATATATATATATATATATATATATATATATATATATATATATATATATACATATAATATATATATATATATACATACACACACACACACACACACATATATATATATATATATATATATATATATATATATATATATATATATATATATATATATATATATATATACACACACACTGCGTGCCAAATTATTATCGAGATAACTTTTTTCTAATATTTCAAAAACCGTCCAATCAATTCACACAAAATTTTCACACAATGTTGGCAATACTGACCTACGCAATTACTGAAATTTTCGTACTGATCTGCACAATGTAAACAAACTGTCGCAGTATTTGTTATCAGCACGGTGATTTGAGCGTGCCAAATTATTAGAAAAGTATAAGAATTTAGTGAAAAGATGGGCCGTAAAAGCAGTTTAAATGATGCTGAAAAGAAAACTATCACCTCAGAACTCTCAAAAGGTAAATCTACCCTAGAAATTTCTAAAATGATAGGGAGGTGTCATCAAACAGTGCAAAAGTTCACCGCCGAAAAAAGTTATCTCAATAATAATTTGGCACGCAGTATATATATATATATATATATGTATTTTTATATTTAATTTATTTTACTTATTTATATTATGCGGACTGGTATCCACATCTGCATTGCCATATTCACAACGATTCGGCAGCTTTACTCTCCAGCCTTCTTCAGGTGATTGGAATTTCGAATCGAACCCTATATTTTGTCCTCCACATGTCCAATGGATGAAACCGTTGGTTAGACCAAGTGACTAGACCCAAAGATTTGTGTGTTCAATATCAGGCTACAGCAGTTGTGAACCAAATTTTGAGAGCTGAGTTAAAGGGAAATAACTGAGTCATCCGGAAGAGGTATGGCACGTGAATGTAGGACAATCTACCCCAGTGGATGAAATAAAGGGTTCAGTTCAAAATTCCAAACACCGGCCGAAACTTTGTGAATATGGCAAAGATGAGAATAACAGTCCGAATAATGTAAATAATGTATGTAATCATAATACCTCATGTTAGTGATATAGACAGATATTAATTTATTTTATTTAAACATTTTTTGAAGGTTACTCATATTCTATTTTTTTATCATTTCAGCTCAAGCAATGCGTAATGATGCTAAGGCACAAAGGTCTACTGGAATTGAAAGAAAGACTCTAAAGGAACCGGAAACCCAATCCTAAAGAAAGAACAAGGGATACACCACTACTCCTGTTCAAAAGACAGGGTAGTGATGTGAGCCTATCTGAAGAGAAAATTAAATAAATAAATAGTAAATAACAAATTCCTTGCTTAGGTGGAAATATTAGAAGTATAGAGTTGAAGTAAACTTTAGAAATAACCGGAAACTCAATCTTAAATAAG